ATTATCGCAAATTTCCAAACAAAACACTGAAGAACCTTGAAGTAAGAAATATGGTAGTATTGTGTGCTTGCCATTTTTTCATTCTGTAGCCTCCCTATAGACATCTATTTTTAAACTTAAACTTCAGGAAAGATTACACCATTCACTTAAATTTGCATTCATGTAAATTATAGCTTTTTTCAACTTTATAAATTTTTCAAATTTATATGATCAAGCTATTAAACTAAGCCTAAAGTAAATGATTTTTTTAAAGGTTCCTTTTTTTGATACTACTAACCCAGAATTTGTTAGCTATGGTTTGTTGAAAAAATTATGGTAAACTGATTTGTACATCATGCCAAACAATAGTAAGTTAGTTCACATGTTATTCAAGCCAAAAGCAAACAAAAACATCATGCTGTTATGCAAGAACTAGGCCAACATGTTTGTTTATTTAAAATGTGAACACCACCCTTCATAACAAAGCCTTTCCAGGGCAGCTTATAAGACATTTTAAAATCACAATTAAATATATTACTCATAGTTCCACAAACATTTACATAATGAAACATCTACACTGATATTCCCTGTCTCGTAAATAATGGAAAAGATATTAATTGTTCCATTTCAGAATCTGCAAATTATTTGAGATTGTAGACCTCACTAATATATCTTAAATAATGGGGGAAATGGTATTAATTGTTCCACTTCAGAATCTGCATACCTCACTAATACTTCTTACAACCATATATAAAGAGAAGGAAAATAAATTTTCACTTACAAATCTTTTCACAATGTGAAACCCTTTCATCTATCTATTTAAAATTGATGAAGTATCTGGAAGAATTGTGCTCTTTCCAACAATCTTTCCAGTGTTTACTAAGGAGGCATACTCCACAAGTAAAAATGCTATTATGGAAAGCAATTGCTATGATGCACATGTGAATGAACAACTAGAACAAATTATATTTGACAAGGGACTTCTGTCCTGCTTCTCACAATTATATCAGACCATGAACATATTTGCACCATGTTTATTTATAAGTAATTTCCCTCCCTACTACATTAGTGTCCTAAAACATAAATGCATTTTAAAATTATTTCAATTACCCAAATTTGTACATCTGAAAGATTAATAGTGGGTTTAAAATAATTTATGGAATTATAAAGATATTTCTTATCTACAAGATAGTAAAAAAAAATTAATTTTTTTCTTTGGTTTTTAAAAAACTGACATAGTTTTAACATATAATCATAAATATAACTGATTATATGTTCTGCTTGCTAGTAGAAATAAAAGTTAACAGATCTGGTAACTTATCATACTTTAAAAGTATAAAAATAAATGAATAACTACAGAATGAGGTGACAAAGGAGATTTGTGCAAGATACGATATTTAAGCAAGGTTCCATATAAACAAGATGTGAGAAGAACACTGACTCACAATTCTGATAATTTGAGGAATATGTTTCGAGTCCTGAGAGTACTTTTTATTTGGCTAAAATATAATCATGAAAGTAAGCATTAAAGGACCTCAATGTTAATATTTTTATTTTATCATTTATGAAATTATAATTTTGTAAGTATAAAGTTCCTATGATTGACATTAGGTTTGTATTTTGTGTGCTTGCCTTGCTTGCAAAGTTTATATATTGAACTGAAGCTTTATTATTAGAACTGTTCCTGCTTTGAAGATGCTGAAGGTAATATGTATATATTTTAGATTAGCATGTATGTCATCATGTGTTTTTTTTTCCCTGTCACTGGGTAGACATGTGACTTTGGAATTTGCATAGCTGAACAAAAATATTTTGGTAGTTTAACACATATTCTTACTGTTCTATTTTTATAAGTGCACATATTCAGTACTGCTAAAGAAACAGTTGGCAAATTAACTTGCCTGATCAGTTAGATCCATCCTCAAAATACAGTATTCTGACAGAGGTCCATCTGCACCATTTTTAATATTATGATCACTGTCTATTTCAGACCTTTTCAATAGTATTGTTTCAACATCACCTATACTACAAGATCTAGCATATCACATACAGCCACAAAAATAAATTCCCATCACACAGAAAGGCATAAATAATTTTGTAATAAAAACAGCAATAAACTACTAATACAAAACATACTGAACCCTTTCCATATAACTGATGTTTCATTAATATGGTTCAATCACTTCAACCAGGGGACACTCAACCCATTACAGCGTTTACAGGAAATAAATTGATGAATATGTGAGGCAATACTCACAATAATTCTTTAATATGGGACTTGTGTACTCATGGAGCAAGCACTGCTATATATTTACAAATATCAGCACAACTAATTTCAAATGCTTACCAGCCTTACTATTATTCATATTGCAAATGCATCCAAGATGAACAACTTAAAAGGATCTCAACGTACAAGAACTGATTTTACATATTTCTTGGCAAAAGACTTAAATACTCCAAAAACAAAGACAAATGAATTGGCAAAACAATACTTTTGAAGCAGTTGCTCTAAATAATGCAGGGGAACCAAATCAACTGTCCCACAAGAAGTCCAATAGCAGATATTAAAGAATTGTTTGGGGTGCTATATTAAGCAATAGCTTATGTAGATGTCAATTTGTGAATAAAATTGCGAAGAACTGCCAGCTGGATATATTTACAAAATTCACCTAACCACTAAAGGCAGGGATGTGTGGAAGCTCTCATTTTCTCTCGAAGAATACATATTTTATGTATGACTTCCAAACTAGTTGTGGCCCTTAGCTGTGTTTAAAAATTGTTACGGGAAACCAAATCTTATTGATCTTGTTAGACATTTATGTGGCATGGCAATGCTAAGTGTGCTGTGCCCCCTCTTCAATGTTGCTTGCTTTGTCTTAAAATAAAATAATATAAAATATGGTAACAATGCTACAAGTGGACTCCTTAAGAAACTGCCCTGCCAAGCTTCTACAGGTCTCATCAAAGCAGATGGATAGAAGAATAGAGAAATGTTACTGAAGTTCATCATTGTTTTCTACTTCATTCATCCATATGTAAGTTCTGCAGTCCTAAAAGTGCTCTTGTTGTTAGATCAGGATTAAAAATACTGATCTGGCAATAAACTAAATAATAGATATAAAAAACAATGCCAGAGTATTAGTGATGATTGCATGCTTTACTTGTGGAATTCCTTGAAGAACCTGGTTGTCAATGTTATTAGCATGATGTGGTTTTATCTAGCTGTTTCTTAAAAATATGTAATAGATTTCAACTTGAATTATTTCAAACTCAAAGCACCATTTTGGTTGGCAAATCGGGGTGTTTAACTGCTTAAGAAATATCCTATGTCCATAACAGTGGTTTAAACTCAGAACATTTCTTTAATATTCACAATAGCTATTTCACACTTGAAATGGGACTTTGTGAATTCAAAATGATTCAACTTTGAAGCATTTTGCACATTCCTAATTCTTCAATGCTGTTATGAAACAAGATGCTAGGAAATCAAACAAAAATGAATTCATGTAAGATTATAATTGATACATACCCTTTACTAAATGCATTCAAAAACTGGACAACTAACAATATGGGATACTTTAACTTAGACTTTCTTTAATGAGCATTGGTTGTCTTGACATTTAAATGTCCACTTTCATTTCTATAACCATTGTTTGAAATGAGAAGAAAAAAAGGAAAGAGCCTAGATAAATTGATAAAATTCAGAATTCATTATAAACCTTTAATTTCGTATTTAGTAATAAGCCTCCCAAGAACAGCAAGTCTTGCTTCTAAACATTTAGAAAATTAGAATATGCAACATCAAATAATCTGAGTTCAAATAGTTTTATCTGGAAACTCTTATAAAAATCCAAAATATCTACAGCTATTACAACTTTATATAGGTAGTCCTCAACTTAGAACCATTTGATTAGTGACCATTTGAAATTACAACAGCATTGAAAAAAGGGACTTATGACCAGTTTTCACACCAGTGACCAGTGCCACATTCCTTTGGTATGTGATCAGAATTCGGATGCTTGGAAACTGGCATGTGAGCTTGCTTAAACAAGATGATGTTCAAAATAGTGAAAGGATAGCAATCCATAAAGAACTATTTTAACTTTTACAAAAAACCGCGTTTTACAAAAGGTGTATTTTGCAATTTTTTTATTAGACCTTAGATGACCTCTTCACTTTTTAGTACAGTATGTATGTTTTTTTGTATACTACATTTACATTATCATCTACCTATAGGAAAGCATATACGAAAGTATTTGCTTGCAAGAAAAGATTTAACTTGATTAGGCTTCAGACTGAGTAAAACAATATATACTTTTACAGTGAAGAAAAATTTAACAAAACATATGTTTTGCACACCACTTCCTTCGTGAAGTGGGAGGGTGCAAAGAACAGAAAAAGTATCCTTTTGATAACAGAGAAACCTCAAGAAAGCTAAGCAGACATCAGTAAATTCCTGTTTTTAGAAACAGGGCTATTTTCCACTTGAATCAGAGGAAAATATGCTGCACTTTTATCAAATGTAAGCCCAAAACAAAAAAAATACCAAGAAATGAGTAGCAGAAATAGTTTTAGTGTCTCTTTAATATGCTGTTAATTACATAATTGATACATAATTCTACACGTTACAGCCCTTAGTTACCACTAAAATGATCATTTTTTTGTGTTTTATTAAGTGAAAAGCAAAATGACGTTTTAGGTAACTGCAAATATGCAAACCCTGTACAATAACCATGCTTCTAAACTTCACAAGCCAAACCAATGATTTCATTAGAAAGTAAAATGTAAAAACTGTATTACTTAGCTGTTAGTTTAGCAAATCTCAATGATACATGTTTTTAGCTACATTGTTACATCAGAATGTTCAAAGTTTGCATATGAAGCATAAGCTTTTTCATTTTTAATTGAAAATTGAAAAATATGTTACTCTTTACATATATATCAACTAAGCATGCACATCTCAACTTAAACTATTAAAATATATTCTTTATATATAGAGTTTATTGAAGAGCCTCTCTTACCACAATTGCATTAGAAGAGTGCACCAATGGCTTTAGTTCATTCAGGTCGTTCTCAGCCTAGAAAATGCAATGTTAAAAACAATTAAGAGAAATAAGAAAAGGAAAACCAAAGATGGTGAAATATACTATATTATCTATACATTAATAACCTAATTTATTTTTGTTTACTGAGAATTAAGCCTCATTGTAATGAACAGATTGGGTTTACCTTTAAGATACTATGCATAAGGTTGCAATCACTGTTACAATTAGGCAACCTTATGACTCTTTTATTACCTTATCCCATTCTCCTTCCATGACATGATTGCGGAATTTGGTGGCAGAAGGGTGTTCTAAACGACATCCTGACTCTTGCATGAGAAGATCAACAGTCTGGCTGTGAGAGAGAGGCATAGTGTTCTTAAAAAGTTGACCAGTCTTTATTCTTATCCTTATAGATAAGCCATCCAGTGTAGCCTTAGTACAACATGTTTAAAATATATAACAAAAAATACCTGGGCTTTCTCAATAAATTCTAGCAAATATGACATATTTTGTACTATTTTCATAATAAAGAAATACTGTCAGGAAATTCTTTACTTAATAATCCATAAACCTATATTCTTACTTTCCCAATTATTTAAAATGAACAATACTGTTTTCCTAAAATGCTAACAAAGGTTTGCCTCTTGCTATAAACTTGACTTCTGTCAATCCCATTTTTATTCTGTGTTCTAAATTAATATCAACCTATTCCTGCAGTGATTCAAATGAAGACCTTAGTTTTCCAAGGATACACTATGTAAATATATATTCTCAAAATTAAACTAGCTGCTATTATGATACACAATTCTCAGGTTTGTTTTAGTAATCCAAATTACTGATGTACCATGTTTATTTGCTTTTCACCCTCCCCCATTCCAGTGCATGCCTATTACTCAGCTCAAAGTACTGCAGTGCTGCAAGCTACATAAGAGTCAACATATTAGACATTAATTTTAAGTACATTCCAAGGGGTTAGACACAGGTATATTCAAGTTCAATTTTAATACTACCAATCTAGAGTTTAAAATTTTGGTTTAAAATGATAGAACATCTATCTAGATTTGTAGGGATGTTTTGCTGTAATCTAAAATGCTTCTGTATTAGACCTATCTGAAAATTTTTCATACACTATTATATTCAAAATGCTATTTTACCAATGTAACCTCTGTAATTTATTTGCCTTTAAATAATGTGCTGTTGGGCCTCATAGAAAATCTATGTGTTCTCTTAAAACGAAGTTCACACTGGACTAGGCCTGAAAAATAGGCCCTGTCGTCTCACTGCCTCACTCATTCACTGTTTTTATTTATCCCTCACATTTCTGTCTTTGTTATTAAACCGTAAAACATCAATGTGAACAAAAAAAATCTTCCCATTGGAGAAGAATAGATCAACATACATAATGTTGGCCTTTCCCCCCCCTTAGGCATATAATTGATCTTTAAAATAAACATCTGTCAGAGTTATTGTTCTCATCAACACAAACCTAGATCCATATTCTCGCCAAACAATCATCCGATGTTGCTTCCTACGAAAACAGATATAAGCAAGAGGAATACCATCCATCTACTCTCGAAATCTCCCTCTCCCCCCCCCCCAAAAAGGGCCAGCCGAGGAAGGGGGCTGGAAGTATAACATGGTGGGCAAAGTCATCCTCCGGACGATCCCACCCACCACACATTCCTCAGGTTTAAGCCTACGCATTATTTGGGAGGCAGGAGGGATCGCAACACCTACTCGCCCCACTTACTTGAGGCCCAAGCCGTGGAGGTGCTGCCCGATGAGCCGGATCACGTCCTCATCGGATTGCGAAAGCCGCTTCTTCTTCTTCAGGGCACTGTTGCCGACGCCGACACCGCTGCCTCCCCCCATCTCAAGCGCGGAGCCACCGGGGGCCGAGACCCCATTATTGACACTCGAGCCGCCACCGCCGTCGCCGTTGTTGGCCGACGGCAGCAACCCATTGGCGTGAGCTAACTGCTCTCCAGTGGTCAATCCCGACGAGGCCTCGCCGTTTTGGGCGTTGAGGCAGCCCAGATCCGGACCCTGTGACGACGGCGGCGGCGGCGGCGGCGGCTGTTGCTGCTGACCCCCTCCTGCTCCGTTGGCCTGCATGGCGCTGCCGCTGGCTCTGAGGGGGGTGGCAGCCGCGGGGGCAAGCCCGCAGGAGAGCGAGGGGGATGAAGACGAGGTGAGGCCTGCTCTGCCCGCGGAAGCCCCGGGCTCTCCTGCTCCCTCCGCCGCCGCCGCCGGGGAAGCCCGCGCTTTCTTCCGCGGTGGCGGGGAGGCTCCGCCGGTGTCCGAGTCGGAGGAGGAGGAAGCGGAGGCCAGAGTTTCCTCGCCGAGAGCGGCCGTGGTGGGAAGCCGGGGGGGGGGGGGGGGAGGAAGGGGAGGAGGGGGAGGGGGGGGGGGTGGGATGGGGGAGGTGGCGGGGTAAGGAACGGGGAGCTGTTCCTCTCCCCGCGGCTCTTAGACAGCAGCAGCTGCTGCTACCCTTTCTACGGTCCCGCCAGAGAACGCGGCCCGAAACAGCCCCCGCCTGGCAGCCCCAGGCACACAACCCGCTCCTCTCCCCTAGCTGGTCGGTTTGAGGCTCTTCTGCCTAGCTGCAGCCTAATGGAGTCTGGGCCGGGACGTCACAGGAAATTCCTATACTGCCCCTTCACTCACTTCCGCCGCCGCCGCCTGGGGTAGGCTTCGGGCTATGGCTGCGGAGGAGCTCGGGACGGTCTCGACAGCACCACCCCTTGGGCGGGCGCAGACCCCCCGACTCAGGGGGCCTTTGTCATAACACCTGCCCGTGGGGGGAGGGTGACTTCCTGGTGATGATTCGCTTCAGATGTCCATATAGGGAGTAGGGAAAGTCTGCAGGTGGAAATACCAATAAACGGTACGCTGACTTGGACCTCTTTCTAAAACAAAAAAAATATTTCTTTTTCTGTGGCTCTGCGGTTTCAAATTTTGAACGTCCTCCTATAGTATTCAGGTCCGATTTAATATCTCCTTCCTGAATAATAAAAAAAAAGTCTTGTGGCTTCGTAGCCTTAAGTATATTCCCTTTTAAGATACCAACTCCTTTGTTTTTAACTACCGCAGACTGACATGGCTCCTTCTCTTAAAATGGCATCAGTGGCTTCTTTTTGTACTTTTGTAAATAAATACCGAGATGTTATGCGGTGATATTTGTAAAAGGGTGTGGGTTATATAGTTTTTTCCGAAGTAGCCGGAGAAAAACTTTCCCCTTTTATTACCATCTGTAGTTGAAAACAGAGCTACTCATTTGATAGGTTAGATATGACAAGGTCTATCAAACCTGGCATAGCTGTAGAAAACTTTTTCCATTTATTTTCAAAAGTGAAAGAAATCAGGGTGTGGTATTCGGGGAAAATTATAATATTCAGATAAGAAAATACAATATTAAAAAAAATATTGGTAAAAGCTTAATATGGACCTTTCTATAGGGTAGTTAAGTAGCCTCAGTCAGCTATGTTTACTTTCTCTTTAAAAATTAAATAGTTCTATAACAGGACAGTTTACATGACATATTAAAGTAAGGGTGTCAAACTCACATCATCATGGCGGCATCATGTGACATATCAGGACTATTTTCACTAAAACAGGTGTGAGTTTGACAGCCTTGCACTAAAGTGTAATATGGTACCATATCCTCCTCACCCTGTAACGACCATATTTTGTACTACTGTCACCCCCCCCCCCAATCACCTTACTTTGTTCATTAAATGGGGTAAAAAGCTTACCTAACACTGCGTTGTATTCAAAAGTTGCCAGTTGTGGAACATTTGGCCTTGAGTTCCTAGAGGAAAGACAGGATATAAATTCAATAAATTCAATAAATATAAATGAAACCCATTCTAGATTTACTTAATACAATTAGCCTAAGGTGTACTTTTTAACTACAGTGGGGAATAAGAAACTGCATGTATGTTTTTATTCATCAGATTGACTTGCTCAGTTTGTCCTGCCAATCATAGTAGGACAAGCAGTGCTAGATCATATTATGATACTCAAGAACCAGCCTTCCTGTCTTCCAAGTTCTCTGATTCCATTTCAAGCCAGGCTGATCCAGGTTGGTTTCATTGTGGACACTGAGAGACTTAGAGCATGGGAATGTTTACCCTTTTTAAATATACAGGGCACACTAAAAATTAAAGCTAGTTAGTACTTGCCTTTTCAGGCCTGTAACTGAGCACAGAGAATCCTGAGCCAATCGGTACTCACTTAACTGCCAATTACTCAGAATATCATCCTGTTCCTGAGTATTACACCTAAAAAATACATCCCTTTTTAAACACAAATACACACACAGAGAAAATTGCTAGCATTTATGTGAAAAAAACCTCATTTGCCTTTAAAGCTCCTTAGGCTGATTTAAATATTACTCTTTATGTTGGTCCCATGCCATCATCCTACCACAGTAAAGTTATAGGAGGCCCTGGGAAAAAATATCAAACTAAGTGTCCCTTATTATACAGTTATAAAAATTAGGATCATTATCATAACCAACCTCCAGTGAGAACACAGACCATTCCTTAAAATTTAATGTAACCCTTTGCTATAGCTTCTATAGAGGCAATTTCTGCTTAAAATGTTATTTCCTCATCAGTGAGTAGAACATCATGGACACAGGAATAATTTAGTAATAATCACAATCAGATATGGTTTATTGCGAGCACTCATTATTAGGTTTGTACCCCTGTCTGGAAGAATCTGTAGTCAATCTAGCATTCTTTCCTTGCTGAGATTCACTGAATGGCTTTGGAAGTTTACAGTAAACCTTAAATATATGCACAGCCTCTTACATATTTCCTTACAATTGGTATTGAGAGGAATACATTTTCCAATTCTGGACATATAAAAACTCAGTTATTGAATGATCACATGTGATAAATTGCCATTGATAGCTTCTTTATTAATTTGTTCATATTTTTAAAAGTACCACTATGCCTGAAAAATGCAGTAAAATATTGAACAATTTCATATGTGATACAATAGTATAAACAAGAAAGAATAATTAGATATTATAATAATATTCCAGGCATTATCCAGTTCATAGTCATTCTCCACCCAAAACATGTACTATCTGACAGAGAAATTAATGATTTGCTGTTTATTGAGTGAAAAACAAGAATATAAAAGATGTCAATATGTAAATTCCACAGAATATATAGCAAATGTGTTGTGCTAATGCTTGAACTACCATGCCTGGTCAAAATTCAGAATTGTACAGGATGTGTAGACAAGAATGCCTCCTTTTTGTAACTCTTTTGTATTTTCCTACCAAATTCCCATTCTTTCTCCATTCCAGAAATGATCTATTAAAAAAGAACAAAGAAGGAACACTGACAAAATGCCTTTAAATACTTGTGTAATCCTAGTTGTTCTAATTTCCAAAATACTACAAGCACTGCCACATCACCAGCATTTTCACATTTTAATTCCCTACAAAGCAGTTTGAAACTACATGAAAGGAAATTAATCCAATCAGTCTCCTGCTCCAGTGTCACTTTTATCCCATAGAAAAAGGGAAAAGAAAACAAAACAGGGCTATGAGCCCATGACTCTCTCTTCTCTCATGCTTTCCAGTATATGTATTTGCACGAATTTGGTAGCTGAGAAGAGCTACAATGAGAAGTTATGTAAGGAAAGTTTTTATTTATAATAAATATAGTAAACGTTTTATCTTTTCCAAAGGCTTCCAAGCTGCTTTGCTATCATTTTTCTATGTTTAAGAGCCCAGGTAAATTGTGAAAGTAAAAAAAATAGTATCTCAGCAATTTTGTCATCTGGTAATTTCCTGAATACCTCTAGCCAATGTTGACTGATGCTGCAATGGCTGTGGGATGTGTTTGGGTGAATCAGCAGATTATTAGTTCTAACCAATATTAAGGTAGGAATATAATGCTGAAATCCTGGTGGTGAGGGAGAAAGAGGCACTAATGAATGACTTAAGCTCCAGAAGGTGAGACAAGACAAGGATGTCTACCAAGAGAGAAATTGTTTGTCTACAGCTGGGGTGTCAAACTTGCATCATCACATGACATATCACAACTTTTCCTCCCTTCACTAAACCGGGTGTTGGTGTGGCTAGCACATGACACATCTGGCCTGCAGGCCGTGAGTTTGATATACCTGGTTTGCAGCATTTTCTAGGAGGGTAGAGCAGAGTCAGAAACTGATTCCACTTCTCAAACAGACATTGGGATTGGTCTAGTTTGCACTGATCTCACAAAGTGGACCAAACGACTGGTAAAGAAATGCCTATGCCTAAACAAGATATAGCTAAAATTAGCCTGTCTTGATCATACATAATTTGAAGATTGATTTGATCTTGATAATATATTTTACTAATATTTAATATTATAATTTATATTTAAATATAAATTACAAGCATTCACAGATGATTTGGTGTTTATTATGGAAGATCCAATAGAAATGGGGTCAAAACTAGTCGAAATAATAGAAGAATATGGAGAAGTAGCGGGTTTGAAGATTAATTAAGATAAAACAGGGATGAGCAAGGTTTGTAGCAGGAGATGCACTTATTTTTTGGGGAAAAGTAAATATTTGATAAGCCCGCAATCACAATTTTTTTTCTGTTGTAGATTTAGGATAGCCTTTCCTTATATCTCTTCCTATTGTTTTTTCCACATATAATAAAACTAAATATGGCCCTTTTGAAGAGGTTTTAAAAATGGGATTATATTATTTCTCTTCATCAAAAATTCTAATACACTTTTTACAATTATAGGTGTTATTCACTGTGCTTTGTCTAATTCCACTTTATAAAATGTGAGGTACTTGCAGTCTCTTTAAATGATAGAACTTCAGGGACCCATCCAGGCAGTTACCAAGAATCAAAAACTTACTCAAAGGCACACAAACTTAAATAATACTTTCAATCTCAATGGAGTGCAATTGTCTTTCTCATTTCCACCAATCTATTATTTTGGGTAGCAATCACAGCCATTGTGTGTTATCTACCGAGATTTGGATTTGGAACACTATAAATATAAGACTATGTCTCGTATCACATTGGTTGATGCAATGAGCTTTATCTGTACTTTAATCACAATAATATATAATATATAGGCATATCCCTCACAACAATT